TGAAAACCTCAGTAAAATTAACCAGTGTGTCAAATGCTATTCTTCCACCTCATTTCAAAACAAACTTTGTTCTCTAGTTGCAACAAAAATAGATGTAGAGAAAACCAAAGGGCTATTGTGCATTTTTTGGACCCTTTTGTCAATTCAGGAAAACCAGCTGCAGTAAGGCTCAGAAAAGCAATCTGAGGAACAGCAGTTATTTGCACCAAAATTTTACAAACTTTAGTGCTCTGAAAAGCTTGTGTGATGTGCTACTCACAATGACTCTTAAAAATATTATTCTACATCTTGTATTTTTTTTTTCAATTGAAACTGCACCACCCATCTTTAATCATGCACTGAAATAGGAAATCCTGTAAAATAATCACTTATTCATGTAGGCTTTTTAACATAGCTGTTCATCACCTTTCCATTTCTTGAATCATTTGCCTTCTGAGTTCCTTTTCTTTCCCTCCTACTAATCATCTGAGCATTTTCACCACCATGACGACAAGAAAGAAGTAGCTGACCTTGAATCAATATTGTCATGCCTAAAGAAGTGCCCTAATGTTCAGAACTACTAATTCCCTGGAAAACCAGACCACTTTAAGCACTGACATATGGATTTTTTACAGCTTTCAAGACAACTTTAAGCACTTTAACAAATAGCTTGTATTTACATATTGCTGAATTCTAAATACTGTTCAGAAGTGTTTACTTCTTTGCAATTTGCAAGTGATGTGGGACAGATTTTCACTTTCTCGGAAAAAAGAGAAGAAAAGAAAGGAAAGATTTATCTACCTTATATAGTGTTGCCTAAACTAATTAGACAACCTAATGCATTGAAAATCATCTCTTTTAGAAGAGTTTATTTTCTGAGTCTAAAAGGACCAGGGTATAGCATGATAATTTGTAACGGAAATATTTGGCACAACAGAAAAGAACAAAAATCAAACCCATTTACTTCAGCTGCTTTACATGCTTCAGTAAATTAACTATTAATATGTGATACATAAATCAAAATTAAAAATCGATGTAGAAATTATGTTACTTTCTTGGCAATGTCTAATGCCTACCAAAGACAAAGCATTGAGCACTGATGTATGCCGCTTCCACCTCTTAAGCCAAGAAAATTTTCTTGCATTCTCTTGAAAAATAAGCTTATGTCTTGCAATTTTCTAGATGGAAAAATGGGGCTATGCCGTGGTTTGAGCTCAGAGGAAAGCAGCACCATGCAGCCGCTCTCTCTCTCCCCTGCCTCCCAAAGTGCTTCTCTCCAAGGAGGCTTGGGAATCGAGGTAAGGACAGAGAGAAATGATTCACCCATTACAGTCATGGGCAAAAGACAGACTCAGTAAGGGAATCAAAAAAGAACATCAGTTTAATTCAAACACTAACAACACCACTTAACAGAGTAGAACGGTGAGAAACATTACCACATCTTAAAAACACCTTCTCCCCACCCCTTCCTTCTTCCCGGGCTCAGCTTTTCTCCTGATACCTCTACCTCCTCCCCTCCAGTGGTGCAGGGGGCAGGGAGTAGGGGGTTGCAGTCTGTCCTGCTGCTTCTTCCACCTCAAGGAGGTTGAGGGAACTTCTGGCATTCTTCCCCTGCTCCAGCATGATTCCCCTCACACACGAGACAGTACTCCACAAACTTTCTACAACATGAGTCACTCGATGGGTTGCAGCATTTCCCTAGCTGCTCTGCTGTGGGTCACCTCCACATATTACAGTCCTACTGGGGGCTGCTTCTTCCCACAGAGTCCCGGCCTTCTTTGGGTGCAGTCACTTGCTCCAGTGTGGGGTCCTCCACAGGCTGCAGGTGGGCATCTCCTCCACTAGTGACCTCCATGGTGGCAGGATGGGACACCCTGCCCTTTCACTATGGGCTGCAGGGGGGCTCTGCAGTGGCACATCTCTCCCCTTTCTCCTTCCTTCCACTAACCTCAGTGTTTACACAGATATTCTCCTCACAACTTCTCATCAGAACTCCAGCTCCTCCTTCCAAGGGCCCCTTCTTAAATATGTTATTGCAGAGGTGCAGCTAATTGCTTTGGCCTTGGCACACAGGTGGGTCCAACATGGAGACAGAGAAACTTCAAGAAGTTCTCACAGGGGACCACTGCTACAAAAAACCCTGCCACTCACTCAAAACCAGGACAGGCTTTTCTTTGTCATGCTTGCAAGAAAAATAAATAACTTCTAGAAGCCCAAATGTAGAAGGAATTGTCTCTTTTCATCACCTACCGGACTTGGAAGCTGATGCCTTTTTACATTCAGAGATTATTTGATAGGGAACTCTAACAATTGGCAGAATCCCCAGATCAGTTTCCAAGTTGTCCAAGAAGGGCAGTGATGTATTTCCCTAGCAGATGAACAGTTCTTTTCCATTTCTTTCCTTCCCTCCTTCTTTTTTGTGTGGAACTTTTCACAGTATGATCTTTACTTGAAATAGTGCAGCTCAATTTCTGCTACATTGTTTAAAAGACCAAAGACATTATTTTATACACAAAAATAATTTAAAAATGCTGTTTCCCAAACAAAACTGTCTTCCACTGTGTAATAATTATTGTACTTTTCATTATTTCTGCTGTCGTTTTTCACAAATTATAGTAATAGAACTACAAAGCAATCAGTGTTTGAAGTTATTATATATTTTTTCCTTGTAATTTTTTTATTATTCTCCCTGAAAGTGATATAGGAATTGCAGGTGATTAGAACTGGTTCTGCAATAGCAGAAGAGAGAGTGCACAGACTCCTTTGCCTTTAAAAACAGCTAAGACTTTATGTGTCAAGAAATCCTTCAGTGAGGATGTCCAGTGTAGAGATGAACCCCATCAGTTAAGAAAATGAGACATGAAAGTTGTCACCCAGTTTCTAAGTGACATTGCAACCTCACATATTGTTAAAAAAATATAAACCAATCCTCTCCAATAAACATATAGAATGCATATATGAAATGAATAGAGAATAATGATTCTATTCTTCATGATTAGCATACCTCTATTTTGGACAGCTACATGAGTGATTCTATCTACAGATGGCAGAAGCTGACTGAAGACCACAGGATTTTTTTGTCAGTTTTGCCAGTCAGAAACCTGGTCCAATATATTAAAAATTAGTCATGGCTGATCATTTATTTTCATTACTAAAGATTCTAATTCTCACAGTGCAAAATGTTCTTTTAACAGTTATTTCTGTAGTGAAATTTAGAAATCACTAAGGCTTTCTACTTGTGAGGAAAGCAAGGACTATTTCTGAATGCATAGAATTTAGCAAGGCAATGGCCTAGTGTTTCTGGAAAGCAATTAAAAATCTATACCGCTAGCTATTGCTCCCAGGAACTACATTAACTGCTATAGCTGATTGGTGAAGTAGTCAGCTGAAATTACTAAAACTTAAGAACTCACTGTATTTTTCAGCCACTATTACTTTAAGTAGGGGGATAAGGCTGTTTTGGCTGCACTTCTGCATGTGTAAAGGTTAAGAAAATTCTTTCTTCTGCTTCTTATAGGTTTCATAAGAGACACTTCTGGAGGTGGTCAGTGATCCATAAGATGTTCTTCTGCCCATCACCTAAGGCCTGAGCTGTAAAAGAGGAACACATCCTGAGTGCTTATTCAGGCCTTCATCTCCCTGCATGCCACTACTGCTGGCTGCCATTGAACTTATCCCCAGTGAATGCAAGACCCTGTGAACCAGTGTATGCATACACATGCTGTTGAGATAATGTGAATCTGCCAGGTCTCCCAATTCAAGATCCCAGCTTTGAGTGCAGATGAAAAAACAAACAAACAAACAAACAAAAAGTAAGGCTTCTACAGGCAACAAACATATTGCTTTAATTGATGAAATTTGTATATACTTTTACAGTATATGACGTGACCCAAAGTTGCATGGGTCTGTAAGCCTTAAAAATCACCAAGAATAGACATTAATTAGATAGGGGATAGTGGGTACATGTTAAATGAGGTAAAGAGTTTAGGCACTGAGAGATTTAACAGCCATATATGATGCAAGTCATTAATTTAGCAAAATTTAACCCCAAGTTTAGGTACATTAAGCATTGTTAAATACACACTTAATTTAAAATGGATCAAATTACTTTAACAGATCTGCACATATTAGAGTGACTGATAATGTTTCATTGTTCTGTGACAAGAATACTGAAAAATTTTGGTAATGCTGTTTGGTTAGTTCACAATAAAAAATATGGAAATACAGAAGTTTTTCTTTATTTATAAACAATTTCCAAAAGTTTCATTACACAGCTATTGAAAAGCAATTTTTTTGTCTGTATCACACTGGGTCTTCTGAAGTTTATACTACTAGGCAGCAAATTAATCATTCATTAACTGGTTGTGAAGACATCATTCCAAGTGCAATCATTTAGACAACATGCTTCTGTCACCAGTTAATCTGTAACACTTTTAGGTGATATCCAAAAGTCCTGGAACAGATTAAGAAATTACTAAGTGAATCAATATCTGAAATTAGATATTTCATGGAGTAAAATAAATTTTGATAACCATCACTGAATTTAGAAATCTGCATCAGTTTCTTAACACCCTTTGTCTCAGGATATTTTTTAATTATTTGTTCAAAATATTGGAAAAAAAATTGCTTTATCATCTGATATGAAAGTCCTAAAATACAAGATAGAAATTTTCTGATTTATTTTAAACCACCTTAACATATCTGTGATTCTTTAGAAAGGGAGAGATTATTTGCAGTTAAATTATGAGTAATTTTACACCTTTCTCATGGATCTGCTTCTTATGTTTTAGAGTCTATTTCCAAAAATCACTTTCTAGCAAGAGTCCTGGTTGTATAGCTTCTGACCTCCTTTGTGTCTTTTCTCGCTCTTGGGATCATTTAAGAACCCTCCCTGATATCAGATTGGGACATTTTAAATTGGCATCACGGACAGGATCCCTAGTGACAAGAGTGCTGTGTTACCTTGCTGTGTTGGATGCAAACCTCTCGGGATGAAATAACCCTCTTTGTGTTACATTAAGGTGTGAACTCGTGAGAGTGGACAGTGATACGGTATTTGTGTTTTGGGTAAGGTGTCAACAGGGGAAACGTGTACCAAGGTCTGACCCTCTCAGGATGAAAACCCCTTTGAATTGCTTTTGTGTTTGATTCAGATCTGGCCTCCTGGGAGAGAACAGGCTAAATTTGACATTAAGGTATAACCCTCTCAGGACAATGATCCCCTTTGCATTAGGAAAAGGAAAAAGCATGGCTGCCCAGAAGACAGCCGATGCTTCTGATGATGTGCTCTCAGTGGCTGAAGGAATAGATAAATTATATGTTCTTTTGGAGGCACACTGATCTCACCCCTCAGTCCGGGGACAAGATTGGGTGAAAACCCACTGGTTTCCACCGCAGAGTGTGGTGGATAAGATAAGGGCATTGCAGAAGGAAGCTAAGGTTAGGAGGGGGAAAGGAAAAGCTATAATTTGTGCAGTGTTAGGAGTGAGTCTGGCAGCTGCGGTGGAAGAGAGAAGGCAGAAGTCTTGTCAAACTGATACTGTAATAGATTCCCTGCAGACTGCCATACAGACCCTGCAGGAACAATTGAAAGAAACCAAAGAATTGCTAGAGGAGGAAAGGAACCAAAATGTAATATTGAAAAATGAGTTGAGGGAACAACTTTTGACGGAGACGGATACACAGGCAGAGGCATAAGTGAAGCTTTTGGAGAAGAGGATATGGGAAATTTATCCCCAAGGATATTTGCAGAAAGCAAAAGAAATCGTAGAAAGCCTCCCCCATGTGTATCCTCTGGTTAAAACAGAGTATGTGTACGAGGATGATAGTGTTAACCATCCTCAGGTTATCACCAAGGAAGTCCCATTTACAGCAACTGAATTGGCAAAGCTGAGAAAAGATTTTGCAAGAACTGCAAAAGAATCAGAGACAGAGTATGTGTGGAGAGTGTCTTTGTCAGGAGAGGGTGGAATTTTGTTGTCAGAAAAAGAAGCAGAAGGATATTGGTATCCAGGTATGTTTCTAACTACTGGTGACCACCGAGCCCCATGGTCATTGACTCAGAGAGCTGCGTACTGAGCCGGCGGGCTGAACTCCTTGGAGACGGGAGATCCCCTTGCCATAACAGGTATGGTGGATCAGTTAGTGGAAAGTGTGCAGAAGGCGGCCTGTCTGCAGGTGATGTATGATCAGGAGCTCAAGCCCAACCAGGGCTCCCTGATAATGATGACTGTGGACTCGGAAAGGATGACTCCCCTGATACGAGGACTCCCTGACACGCATTGCTATTCATTTGCAAGGGAAGATTCAGAACACCCCCAATGCAGAAAGAATGATGGCCGCTATGGAGGGGATAGTGACCCCTGACCATCAACGGCCAGGGACAAAAGTATGGACATGGGGAGAGGTAGCCCAGGAATTGATTAATTTTGGGAGGAAATATGGCCCCATTGGTAGATCATCCCAAAGAACTGAATCCAGGGTTGTACGGGCTGAAGAGCAAATTAGTGGGCAACAATCATCCATGAGGAAGGGCCAAGGCTTGGGATCACCCTGAGGACAGAATTCTGGGAGAGAAAGGCCCCTAACTCGACAAGGACTGTGGCAACTAGGGCTTCCGAAAGGTATTCCCCAGGATTTGATGGGCGGACTCCCGACTCAAAAATTAGAACAACTTGTGCAGAACGGGTGGATGTCGCTGCACAAGGTCTCCAGTTCCTTGAGGAGGATGGCGAGGTCAGTTGCCTCCTGCCCAGCCTGGGGGACAGCTTGCAGGTGGCACACCTCTACTCCCACCAATCCATCTCATTTTCAAGGACAACCCATCTTGGTCAAACTTCCCACGGTAGGCAAAGTGCCACTGGTGTTGGACACACCCCTTAATAAACACACCTGGAAGGCAAAAGATGCTTGTGGAAAAAGTCTTAAGATTCACACTAGATGGATTGTTCCCTCTTTCTAAAGTGAGAAGTGAATTTGTTTTTTGTTTCACTTTCAGAAGGAAGCAACACAGATGCACCCACAGAAGAACTGAAGCAGACACAGATTTTAATGTAATTTGGTTGGATGTGTATGTTAATTTTTGCTATATTGTTTTGGGGATTTACCTATAAGAGGGAAGGGAAGCCAACTCCCCCACTCGCCCCCCAGCCCATATGACCCCTTTGAGGATAATGAATTCATTTTGTTAGTAAAAACTGTAAGCCAAACCTTTAATCTAAGTCACTGTTGGGTTTGTGGGGGACCTCTAGGATTATCAAGATGGCCATGGTTCTCTACACCCCTCACTCCAGCACAAATTGTAAGCAATTATAGTGAAACAAATAACACCACCTAGGATGATAGTGGAACATGGCCAATTCAATTTCCTACAATGGGTCAATATTGCTTAAATTTTACCCAGAAGGGAGGGGTCAATGTGGGGGAAAGCAAGTGTCAATGGACACTCATACATAAATTGGTTAACAAAGATAGAGATGTTTATATATGGGTGTGGTTTGATGAAACCGGATGCAACAAAGGGTTTAAAGGGTTTTGGTCAAACAAAAATGAAACCTTATTTGTCCGATGGCCTGGAAACCACATTTACCATCAAATTTGTAAGTGGAAGAACCACACTGGTGCCTGGTATTGTACTGGCTGGACAAACAATAGTCCAAACAGCTTTTTCAGCCCTTTGTGAAATGAAAACACAACTTATTTCCCCTTTCCAAAGGTTGTAGTTGGACCATTTACTAAAGGTGCCGAAGCCAAAAAATGCCATTATTGGATTTGTGGACATACTGCCTACAAACAACTACCAGCAAACTGGTCAGGGATTTGTTATATAGGGATTATCTGACCTCTGTTTTTACTTTTTCCAGAGGTGGATGGTCCTCAATTGGGAATAAGACTATCTGATAAGTTAAGGGACAAAAGGATTGTCCGCAACAAGCAATCTGTTGAGTTTGAAATAAGTGGAACGCAAAAGTGGAGGGAAAAATAGTGGACTCCCAAAAGAATAATTAAGCATTATGGGCCTGCCACTTGGAATCCCAGTGAACCAATATCAGGGGCAAGAGAACTGATTTATAATTTGAACTGCATTATTGGACTACAGGTAGTCTTAGGAATTATTACCAATAAAACTACTAATGCTATAGACCTTTTAACACAACAGTCTCAACAGATGTGCACTGCAATCCTTCAACATTTTTTGTCTTTGTCTAAATTTAGGATAGACACTTTTATGGCTAAACCACACGCAGAACCAACTTTTTCCCCTCCCTGTGTCCAAAGACTGGGACCACATCCTTCGGCCCAGCCTGGGACACACCTTGATTGTTTGGTTAAAAAACTCTTGGTTAGTAGTGTTGCTGTTACCTTTTTATATGCTTATTTAGAATATTGTTAACATTGTTATGAATAGTGGTGGTGTTTGTTTACCTTTGTTTAAATCTGGGATAGAAGTTTCTAGACCCAAGTGACGCATACGCTTTAGGATAAAGGGGGTGTGGAAAGCTATATTTCCGCTGCACATGCTGACCCCAACTCCAGAAGACCAGAGCAGCAGACTGCTTGGACTGCCAGGGCCTCAGACACCTTGTGATATTTTGTTAAAACCATGAAAAAAGTGCAACAAATATTAGGATTAATCTTAATTCACTTCGCAGCCTTTGTCTTGTTAGCCATTATATTGTTATTGTAATACTTCTTTTTTTTTGTCCCTGTGAATGCCAACGACGTAAACTGCTGTCATGTTCTTCTGCTGACTCATCGGAGATTTAGAAATGTTTTATAAGATGTGGTTTTATACAGTTAGTTAGTTTTGAGCATGATATATTTGTTAAAGATGTTATTGGTTATATGTTTGTTGGTTAAAGATGTTCATATTTGTTATTGATGATAAATTTGCTGGAAATCTTGTTTGTTATTTTATTGCGTGCTATTTCTGGCCTTTCTCTTTTTCTCTCTGTACTGTTATCTTTCATGCCACCATGAAGACAGCAATGTTGAGCCACAAGGTGGTGTAAGGGTCTGTGTTATCTGTCTCAAACATTGCTGTCGCACCACCACCATTTCCTGGCCTCGGCATCCTGTCACCATGGAGGAGTACTCTGAAGGAGATGAATTGTCTCTGACAGAACCACGACATCTGCTTGAAGTTAAATCAGGATGAAGACATGCAGGCCAGCATGGGACCACGGGCGGAACACAATGAGCTCCATGGGAATGGGTGGACTCTTCAGAGAGATTGTGGGGACTGGGATCATAAAAGGACTTCTCTTTAGGGAGCTCTATTCACTCTTGTCATCTCATCCTTCCTCAGAGCTGGGACTTCTGTGGAGCTTGGAGCACCACCACCTGCACCGAGACTGAGCCAACAAAACATCACTGGATTCGTGGTGGTGGTAATTACTCTCGCTGCATCTCTACTGTTGGCTTGCTTAGGGATTCTGCCTTTTCCTTTCTTTTCCTCTCTGTCCTATCACTGTTACCAGCTGTTATAGAAAATAAAGTTTACAAGGTTGTATGGCATCTGACCTCATTTGCGTCTTAATCTCGCTCTTGAGATCATTTAAGAACCCTTCCCATTATCAAATTGGGACACTCATGGATCTGCTTCTTATGTTTTAGAGTCTATTTCCAAATATCACTTTCTAGCAAGAGTCATGGGGCTCAAATGGCTGTCATTTATCCTCTGCAAAGTGAACTTAAAATGTTATCAGATAAAGAATGGTAGCATTGAATGCCTACTTTGCTCTGGTGAAAGTAAGAGCATAGACATAAAAGCTTGGCTTCTAATTACTTTGCCAGAGTGCTGAAAGGATTAGGAGTGCAATTCAAATTTTTGCATCTGGAAAGGAAAGCATTTATGTAAACAAAACTTCTATAAAACAAACAGAAAACTCATATTAGCTACTGGAAGAGGACACAAAGATTATAGCTTTTCCTGTGAGCCAGTCACTATTTGCAGTTAGCCATGGGATACATTTGGCAAAGTTCCATAGGTTTCCACTTTCATAAATTCCATTATGTTTATCCAGATTGATTTTACTCCCTCAAATTTATGATTGCAGATACTCATTCAGATACTAATTTCTATATATGAGTTTTTAAATCCCCCCTTATTTACTTCCCTCATTTATTTTCATAGAAATAAAGACTGGATTGCTTTTCCCCAAGTCTTCCCAAATCCAGGAACTATAATACAACTGTTTATACTCATTTACTTCATATGACATTACAATATTATGTAACAAATAGTGTCATTCTGTATAAATGTTGTAATGCATATAAACAACCTTTTAATGGCTTCCTCTGAAGCCACCGCAACATAGGTTTAGCTGTAATGTAAAAAGAAATCATGCATGGACAACATAATGGATTAGTCATTATAAGTCTGTATCATGCTATAAAAAGTTATCTCTGTCTCTGTGCTCTACATTGTAATACATTAGTAGGATGACTGTTTATAAAGTGACACTATAATACTTTCAAGATTCCTTTGGAAAATCAATTATTTACAATTTTCAAGAAGAAATGGAATACTGGTGTTATTATATTGTAGTTAAAAAACCCACACTGACCTTGAGATGATACACTAACCATACATGGCTGTATTCAAGTTTTTTACTACTGTGATGTTTCACTAAGAAAGTCTCTTTACAAGTCAAAAAAAACCCTCTGTGATGAGTTTTGCATCTCCCAGATCCTTAACCACAAGGGTGGGATTCATCCAATCTGACCTTGTTGTGTACCTTGTATGTTCTTTTATGCATACAAAAGAGAGGCTCCTCTGCAGAATCACTGACCCCTAATATTTGAGACCTTTCTTTAAGGTAGAATTGCCTAGTCACTGCCTAATGAAGGACTCCCACTAAACAGTTAATCTCATCTAATTTTAGATGTCTGCAGTTCTCTCCATGAGCTAGTCACCTAAACATTCTTTGAAATTAATAGAAAGGAATACACATTTAAAAGGTACAATTTAGCTCATCTTGATATAGATATCTCAAACAGTTCTGATTAATTTTAATACTGTTTCTTTCCACTCAGAGTCTAGATGAGCAGCTTAGATGAAAACACTAAAGCTGGTACACTGATGCCTAACCAAAGACACCTAACAGCATTTTGAGATGTTTGGGTTATCTGAATCATATATTAGAAGATGGCAGCTATTACATGGGGAGAGTCACATCCTTTCAGGGAGCATTTGGAGACAAGGTGAAATACCCAGAACATCTCATATAGGACTATTTACCTATGTTTAAAGAAAGGAGCTAATCCTTTTCTCAGTGGAGCCTGGAAGAACGCTGCTTACTGACTACCCACTAGAGTCCTGCTTTAGAGTGAGATGCATCTCCCTGACTTCATGGGATGCGTAAGGGGATTCACCTGCCTATACAGTCAGCTAGTGCCAAGTCACACGAAATATAATACCCTGGAAGTCCTTCAACTGCCTCTTCTGTAAGTAAATATATCCTGTAAATCCTGTGTCATACCTGCTAGCCCTATAGATGTCCTTGGATGTACTAGAGTATCTCAGGTGTCAGTGGACACCTATGTTCAGGCAGCTGAAACAGCCTCTTGATGAACCTGTGATTTCAAACAGTTAGGGAAGATACTTACTTAGGTGTCATGACCTGGAACTGAATCCTAGCAAGAAATGATGTTTATATTGATAAACGACAGACAATTAGGGAGACAGACTGATCATGGGACATCTGATCAATCACACTGCTTACTTCTTTATCTTCATTCCCCACTTTTATTTTGGAGCTCTCCAGATAGCGTTGAAAAAGGCAATGCACATGTTCAGTTGAGGAGGATGGAATCCACCAAAGCATTGCTACTGAAAGGCATTATGAATGAGAGAAACAGCTCTATCTCTGTGTTCTATGCATTCTTATGGTATTATTCAAATAGGTTGCAAACCCTTAGACATTCCACAAAACTTCATTCTTCTCCAAACAATAAACAAATAAAGAAGCACAATGGATGTGATAATTATGTCATAGGTTATGGAGTAAACACACAGGGCACAAGAGGCAGAACCAGGGGCTATGTAGAGTTGCTGATGTGCATCTTTAGGTATTTTATCCTAATCAGTTCAGATACAAACTAGTCAATGGTATCAGAGCTAGGAACTGGTCATTGGTCTTTGTTTAGTTAATACAGGCATATCTTTGTATTTTAGGTATCTGAAATTAAATGAAATAACATACTTGAATCAAAGACTCATTCAGGTTGGAAAAGACCCATCTGGATCATCGAACACAACCATCACCCCTACCCTACAAAGTTCTCCCCTACACCATATCCCCCAACATCTCATCCAAACGACCCTTAAACACATCCAGGGATGGTGACTCCACCACCAACCTGGGCAGCCTATTCCACTGTCTGACCACTCTTTCTGTGAAAATGTTTTTCTTAATGTCCAGTCTGAACCTCCCCTGTTGGAGTTTAAAACCATTCCCTCTTGTTCTATCGCTGATTACCTGTGAGAAGAGACCAGCACCAACCTCTCTACAATGTCCTTTCAGGTAGCTGTAGAGAGTGATGAGGTCTCCCCTCAACCTTCTCTTCCTCAAACTGTACAGTCCCAGCT